TGAAAAGCCAAAATTGGCTGGACAGATATCAAACATCAACATATCATAAACAACCCTGCAATTTCAACTTCCTATTCAAGCCAAACAATAGCCCTCTTGTCTTTGAACTTCACTCTTGAGCCGACTGTCAGTGGCCAGACTCCCGATGCAGGGCCCAGTGCCCAGCTGCATGTGACCGGGAAGTTATGGCGGCAGTGGCAGGAGGAGCGGCAGCCACCCCGACCTCTCAGTCGTGGCTCTGGTGAGTCCGAAACAAAGTCCCTCCCTGACTTAGAATGATAAACGAACGCTGGGTGAGGGGTACATGGAGTTTACTGCACTATTCTACTTCTGGGTTTGAAAATTGTCATCATAAAAAGTGAAAGAGAGGAAGAAGCAAGGGGGGAGAAGAAAAGAAAAAAGGAAGAAAGGGGAATGGAAAGGAAGGGAGAGAGAAAGAAGAAAAGGAAGGAAGGAAGGAAAGAAGGAAGGGAGGGAGGGAGGAAGGAAAGAGGGAAGGGGACCCATTGTATGGCTTAAGGTCATTGGTCATGCAATTTCAGATTAAGAACAAAAAGAAACTTTTGGAGAGACAAACCAGGTTCTTACATCACACATCTATCTAAGATTGACTGAAATTTAAAAAAAACAAAAAACACAAAAAAGACAAAACAAACCAGTACCTGACAGTAGCAAATGCAAGAACTCTCTTTCATTGCTGGGGAAATGCAAAATGACGCAGCCCCTTCAGAAGACAGTTGGGCAGTTTCTTACGAAGCTAAACATAGTTTTCATGGGCGATCTAGCAGCCATGCTCCTGGGTATTTACCCAATGAGTTGGAAACGTACATCCACGCAAAAAACCTGCGCGGAGTTGTTTACGGCAGCTTTATTCATAACTGTCAAATGCTGACTCAACATACCCCCCCGAGTACGTGTGCGGTTCCTAGGGTTCCCGTAACAAAGAACCTCACACCAGATGGCTTCAAACAACCGAAAGCACTCTCTTGAAGTTCTGGAGGCTAGGAGCCTGAAATCAGAGTTTTAGCAGGGCCGGGTCCCCCAGAGACTCTGGCAAAATCCTTTCTCGCCTCCTCCTAGTTTCTGGTGGTGCTGGGCCCTCAGTGCTCCTTGGCTGGTAGCCGCATCACTTCGCTCACTGCCTCCATCATTCCACGGAACTGTACGACAGTTCCCTGGGACCGTTCCCTTCTCCCCCTGTGTCTCCACGTGGTGTTTTCCTCTTTTTTTTTTTAAATTATTTATTTTTAGAGTGAGAGGGAGGGAGGGAGAAAGAGGGGGACAGAAACATCAGTGTGTGGTTGCCTCTCGCACACTCCCCACTGGGGACCTGGCCCGCAACCCAGGCATGTGCCCTGACTGGGAATCGAACCGGCGACCCTTTGGTTTGAAGGCCTGAGCTCAATCCACTGAGCCACACCAGCCAGGGCTGTTTTCCTCTTTTTATAAGGACATCAATCGTGACGGATTGGGGCCCAGCCCAATGGCCTCATCTTACCTTGCTTACATCTGGAAAGGCTTTCTTCCAAATAAGGTTACATTCACAGGTACCACGGATTGGGGCGATGGAGAAACTGGAATGTTCATACAGTGGAATAATACTCAGTGATAAGAAGCAATGAACTCTTCAGCCATGAAAAGATATGGAAGAATCACATTGCTTAATAAAAGAATTGTCAGCCACCCTGTGAACGAGAGAGACCTGGTTCTTTTTCCCAGCGCTGTAAAGAATTATACAGATCAGCAAATCTATTAGCGTGCAAGCAGGGTTTACTGGAGATCTGTTCTTCTGGAAGAGAATGGGCCTAGTTAAGGTGGGGGTGGAGGCTGAAAGGCATAGGTTCAGGGTGAAGCGGGGTAAGGGTGGTGCAAGGAAGGGTGGCCAAAGGCCAGAGTGGCAAGTGCAGGGGTGGTGAGGGCCAGGGTGGCAAGCACACGAGTGGCCAGAGGCCAGGTGGTCGGAGGCCGGTTGGCCTGGCCCAGCGGCCAGAGAGCCAAGAACGCCAAGCAGGCCAAGCCCTTTGTGCTGAGGACTTATACAGTTGGTGGGACAAGGGGTGAGAAGGAAGTGACATATTGATTGATAGGTAAAGGTGGTGCCAGTTTTGGGGGAACAGGTGAATACCCAAATGTGTTAATGGGCTTCTCCCTTTGGGCACTATGGGCTCTTTCCGGCCTTTCCGGCCTTGGGACGAAAGCACAGTTTCAAATGCTTTCTTTCCCAGGGAGTGGAGACCATACCTAGAATTTCAAGGGCTTCCCTCCTTCCAGCCTTTATTTCCCCTCAGGCCACTTATTCTACCGTCACAGCCCTGGGCATTGTTCTGCAAAGTGCAAGGTCCCTGGATTCCTGGTCATTGCACACACCTGGGTTGTGGGTTTGGTCACAGGTCAGGGTGCATAAAGGAGGCAACCAATCCACATTTCTCTCTCACATCGATGTTTACCTCCCTCTATCTAAAAATAAATAAAATATTTGAATGAATTGTCAGTGAAGGCTATGATTCCAACCACGTGACATCTGGAAAAGACAAAACTGAGGAGTGTAAGAGGTTACTGCCAAGGGCTGGGGTGAGGGGGTGAGGTTTGAACAGCTGAAGCAAAGATTTTTACAATAGTGAATCTGTTCTATATATGATACTGTATGGTAAATGCCCAACATTACGTATCTGTCAAAGTCCATGGAACTGTACAACAGAATGAACCCTAATGTAAACTATGGACTTTATGAATAATAACATCAGTATTGATTCATTAGTTACAACCACTATACTACATAATGTAAGATTTTAATAACAGGGGGAGCTAAGGGTGTGAGAGACTGGGTATATGAGAACTCTGTGCTCTCTGGTTAATTTTTCTGTAAACCTAAAACTGCTCTAAAAAAATAAAGTATAACTTTTTTAAAACTTCATTATGAAATCTAAGGTTCAAGTATCATCTCCTTCAGGAAGTCTTTCCTACTTTCCCACCACATCCCCAGGATGGGTTAGATGCTTTTCTCCCAGGCTTCCTTAATACCCTGGGCATTCTGATGGTTGCCTCTGCCAGATTGTATGTTACTATCTCTTTATGTCTCTGTCAGCTAACAGCTGTGGTTTGCTGACCCCTGGCCTGGAATGCAGGGATGGTGAAAGCAGCTAATCTATGCAACACGTTAGCGGGCGCCCAGGGATGCCTGGCAAAGGGCACTTGTGTTCGCTCAATGCACCGATGACATCCTTTCTGGCATAATCATGAGACCTGTGACCCACTCGGCTATTTTCTGGATGAGGGCATGAGGCATAGTCATCTCATGTTAAGGCTTAGTCCAACCTGAGCAGTCTCTGGATTACTGATCTTTGATTCGCCAGAGATGGGTCCCCATGGGGAAGTTTTTGCCCTGAGAACCTTTTCCAGGGTGCCAATCCTGTGGTTTTGATGTCGAACCCATGCTGTTTACATTACACAACACTCTCTTTCAATCTTGCTCAGATTAAAAGGTGGTATGGCACGGGGGCGATTGGCACAAATGCCTTCGTGACAGGTAACACAGACGAGGAGAACAGGCTCAGGCAGGAGGGGTCCCTGGCACTTTGAAAAGTCCATGCCCCATCTAGAGTGGGCAGCTACTCCTTGGCGTCAGCCAACTGTTGCCACACAGAAATGTGGACACAGTGTTACCAGAGAAGGCAGAGATGCAGATTTCTGTGTGGACAGAATTTCACACAGAAATAGCTTAAGTCTTTAAAAACTGTTGGCAACGAACACAGATGGTTTAGAAATCCTGGAGCTAGCATTTTGGGAGGAGAAGGAATCATCCAATTGAATTGAGGCTTATGATGGGGGGAGAAATGGCAGGGAGAGGCTACAGGTTAAGGACAGCTTCCGGAGAACCTCGGCACACTGGAGGTGCTCATCCCTTGTCTTCTGGCCCTGAGTAATCACCAAACGATGTAAGCAAGAAAGGGACTTGATAAGAATGGCCGAGGGTAAAGCGATTAGCTGGAAGTCTATCCTCTAGTGAGTCAGGGTGAAGGAGAGATGACAAAGTCCTATTCACTTTGTTCTGTCTGCTGCCGGACTGTGAGGTCCGAGGCGGCAGGCTGTCTTCTGTCGGGTTCTCGCTGTGTCTCCAAAGGGAAGCACAAAGCCTGCTCCGTACCTATTTGTTGAAAGATTGGATGAAAGCGAGTGGAGGTGAGAGGCTCTTTGAAGAACTGTGTTTAAGGACCAACTGCCTTCCCCTGAAACCTGTATAATTGTATTAACCAATGTCACCCTGATAAACTCAACTTAAAAAAAAAAAGAGTCAACTGCCTTGGGAGGAACCTGATGTTGATGACGGACAGGGCAGTCACGGGAGTGGGGGACCTGTTTCCTTTCCCTAAGTTTCCTCCAAAAGCTCGGGAAGAGACCTTAGTTAGGCACACTTCTTAAAAAGATCTTCATGGGTTCGATTCCCCGGCACCTCTTCGGACCATGAAAGGAGGAAGTAAGTACCTTGAAGGACTGAAGCGAAGATTAAACGAAAATTCGGGGATAAGCAATTTCTGTCCTTCCCTAGGTCCAGTATTCCCAAAGGACGGAGCAAAAGGGGACAGACCTCAACCTCGGATCCCTAGGCGATTACATTTTGGGTGGGGTGGAAACCGGTGGCCTCGGAATTTCTCGGCCTGGCCCTGAGAGTTCTGGCTTCAGAGAAGAGGGCCCCAGGCCCGCCCAACCTCAAAGCTCGCCCGGTCCTCCTTGTTCCCATACATCCCAGTTCTGGACCCTCCTCCGCGCCCTCCACTACCTACCCCCTCTCCTCTACCTCCTCTTTCCGCTCTCCCGCCCCCATTTCCGCCCCCCTTCTACTCGCTCCAGGACCGGGCTCTCCGCCCTCCGCTGCGAGCCGGCCCTCAGCTCCGCTTCCTTCTCCCTCCGTCGCGCCCCTCTAGGGCGGCCCAGGCAACCCCGTGCCCCGCTCGTCCAATGAGGAGAAGGCGCAGGGGCGGGGGCGGGCCTCGGCCCGGAGCGGAAGTGGTGACCGGAGCGGAAGTGGAGCTGCCGCCACCGCCGCCGCCGATTCCGGAGCCGGGGTAGCTGCCGCGCCGCCACTTCAGCCGCTGTCGCCGCCGCTGCTGCTGCCTGAGGAGTAGGCCTGGGAAGGAAGCGGTCACCGCGCACGGAGCACCGCCCGCGAGCGTCTTTGTCTCCCGCAGACCTCCCACGGTGAGTGCGGCGCGGGGTCCGCCCGGGGCCCCCGTGGGGCCAATCCCGGAACTATCCCGGAGATGGTGGTGAAGGTGGCGACCGGGGCGACCCCCAGGTGGGCTCGAGGGTGACGGCGCGCGCCCTCTTCGGCCCCGCGCGGCCGCCAGCAGCGCGGGCCCAGCCTCGCCGCGGCCCCTCCCTGTTTCCGGGGCCGGCCCCACCGCTCCTGGAGAGGCCCGAGCTGCCCTCGCCGCTTGCGTCTCTGCCCGGCGGGCTGGGTGCGGCTCTGCACCCGGCCGGAGGGGATTTCGGGGCGCGCACCCCGGGACCTGCTTCACTGCCCAGTTTCGATCCCCGTGCGACCCCTCCCTGTGCCTTGGCCGTCGAGATCCGACCATTTCAGCCCTGTCACTCCTGCTGCTCGCTTTCCGGTTTCCAAAAATTAGAATTGAAGCAGATGCGGGCGAGTTCTCGAGCCCCAGTGCCCCTGGCTCCGCTCTCCTAGGATGGGTAAGGGGTTTAACCTTGGGAGAGAGACGAGAGAAAACCCCCTCCCGCTTTGCAGTAAAGCCATTTCATCATCGTTCGCTGGTTTTGGAGCCTGGCAGGACTCGAGATTCCCTGGGAAGCACAGGGTTGAGGTTTGAATCAAGAAATTGCCTTTATTGGCACCGGTTACTGAGTCAGGCTGGGTCCTCGAAAAAAAAAGAGAGAAGCTGGGCACTGAATATTTTCGCACGATATTTATTGTCATTACCGCCAGAGTCTTTTGTCCTCGCCCAAAATTCCCCCATACTGTGTGTAAGCATGTTCTAGAACTGAAATTTGCCTGATGGCCTCCCAGGTGGTAGGGAGGGGTGGGAGTGATTTGGGCCCCTTTTCTTCATAAGATGAGTACATCTTTGTCTATTGCAAATGGAGACTCGCATGTAATGGGGTTTTCAAAGGTGGCAGTATTGGTAAAATAATTTGCCGAGCTTTCTGTAAAAATCTATGTCTCATGTCCTTGCCTTCACTGCTTGTCTCTTTGGTGAAGCCAGATAGCATCAGGCCCTGATTTCACTTGCCCTGTGTGGGAGATGGAATTTGGCAAGATGTTAGGAACATAAAATCAGACGGCCACGGGAACCCGAACAGAAAGATGAAGTTTTTGTAAAACTATAAAAATTGCATTTTTCACTTTCTCAATGGTTCATATGAAACCACACACATGCAGTTTATAGAACAGGACACGTGGCTACTTAGCTTTTTGCATTTCCCTGTTAGAAATTTAAATGTATAAATAGTCCTTCGTTCTTAGTGATTCTTCCTCTTGAACACTTCCAGTGCACGCCATTCCTTATTTAGGAGTATGTGTCTCAGTTGCCCGAGTCCTCATTTTTCGTGGATTGGTGTCTTTAGCAGCACATGGGGGATGATAAGGATATAAAACCTGTCAGTTTTCTGGACCCAAATTAGAATTGTACGTGTGGTCTTCAGAACAGAAGGCTAATAATTTCAGTAGCAACTGCTGAACTATTTTCCTAGCCCCTCCTTTCAGTGAGATAAGAAACCATTCACCCATCTTACAGATGGAGTCTTTATGAGAAGTGAGGTGATTTGGCCCAGACCACACACCTGGGTTTCGGATTGAATATCTTCATTCATCAGTAGTAAATATTTATGGACTGTCAGCCCCTGGGGTATGGCTCCTACCCTGTAATCTTCTGTGCATTTCCCGTCGTGCAGTGCTAGTGTGGTGCTGAAGCCATTTTAGAACTGGAGCTCTGGAGATCCAGGAGGCAGCTCCATAAAACCAGGCTGAGCCCATTCCCATGATGCCAGTTACCGAGGCAGAGTCTCCGGATTTCCGGGCCAGTGCTGAAAGTGTGTTTTGCCCATTTGGCTATGGATACAGAAGCAGAAAGAGCACTGGACTTGGAGTCAGATCAGTTTGATTCCGGTCTTGCCTGCAGCATTTTCTAACTGTGATTTTTCAGTGTGTTGAATTCTCTGCTTCTTGGTTTCTGTATCTCTAGGGTTGTGAGGCCTTTTCCAAACTGTAGATTATTAAATACAAGCTTTTGGTTTTGTGTTCTAACCAGAGTTCACTGTTAATGGCTTTCTTTTTTTTCTCTCCATTTGCATTCTGATGAGACCAAACCTTTTTATACATGATGATTTCAAAAATTGACACAGTATCATAGAACCTTATTTTGTGTCTAATGTAGCCAGTCTTTCCAGCACATTCTCTTGTCTCTATAATGCAAATGGTTACAACCTTAAAGTGTTACTGTGACAAACTCAGAATAATCTGAGATATCGTAGGTATTTAATCAATGTTATTTTCCATGTAAATGAATATATACATACACAGATTAGACATATGTGTGTATGTCTGTATAGCATAGGCACATAGAGAGTTCATCCATCCATTATTTACCGATGAGGTAGCGTCAGACAATGTATAATAATAGCTACCACTTATATCGATTATTTTGTTTTAAGTGCTTTACACATATTCACTAATCTTTATAACCAGCAGTAATCGCTAAGTACTGTTAGCCTCATTTTACAGATGAAGAAACTGATGCACAGAGAGCTTAAAATAATTTCCTAGGGATATAAACACACACACAAAGGTAAGTGTTGTAGCCAGGAATCAAACCCAGGCAGTCTGGCTGTAATGATAGGGTTCTACTTGTAGTAGAGCAGTACATATATATATATATATATATATATATATATATATATATATATATATATATATATATCTTACATGTGAACACTGTTTCTCCTTCATGTTTTTTGTACACAAGTGCTCCGTTTTTGAAAATAGGTACAATGTAATTTATTGGGGCCGGGTTGATAGTGCTTGTGAAAGACTTTTTTCCTAGTATTTGCTTCATAGGAGAGGGAATGTCATCAGTTACTTGGGGCGCACTGATTTATCCAGTCCTGGTTCTTCCTCTAATTGAATCAGTCCAAGCCACCTTTATTAGCTTTTCTTTATCACGCTAACCTTTTTTGTAGAGTTTTCGATTTTCTGTGTTTTGTTAGGGAGGAGATCAGGAGTGTGTCTACATAAGTAGAGAGAAAATTCCAATCTGAATTCTAACATCTGCTATGCTGCCTGTTCTGTCAGTGGTATCAGACTAAGCAGTTTTCCTTTAAATGAGAAAGGGTACCCTAGAATGAACTAAGATGTACTTTCAGAGGAACTTGATATTTCTGGGTTCCTACGTTTTTATAGGGAGAGGTGACAGTTCATTAGCTGGGGAGAAGACATTAATTGTATAATAGAAACTTTAAGATTTGGAGCCATCTTGGTCTCAGTACAAATATGATCCTGTAGTGATCGCGATGGAGAAACTAAGAGTTGGATTCTGAGGGAATTTCTCTAAAAGGACTGCTTAGGAAGGAAATACAGACTGATGTACTTTCTGTTTTGTAATGTGTATGCCAAAATGCAGTCATCTTACTGCTTTCTCTGCTAAAAGAGCTAATGTGGGCATGCTAAAAGAGCTAATGTGGGCATCATTATGTGTTTGTAATACTCACAATGAGATGAAATTGATCGATGGACTCAAGAAAACAAGCCATTCCCAGCAGACTTTGGGTGAGATGACTTTTAAAAGAATCTGGTCATTGCTCTATTATGTAAGTTGCATTGTTTTCCCTAAGAGACCCAACAATAAAAGTTATTTTCGAATGGCCTTGACAAAGACAGAGGTTGGAGGCAGCAGTAAAGGAGATGTGAGCGCCACCGGTGGTGTTTGTGGCACACCTTGCCCCAAAGCTTGTTTAACAGTCTGCTGAGTTTCTGGCATATGCTGTTTCCAGCTGCTTGGTTTGATTGGGGGTTTTAAAGCTAGATAAATTAAGGCCAGTTTTCACACCTCATTGTACTAACTTCTTAAGAATTTTTGAAGAATTGTCTATTCTTTGTTTTCCTTAAGTAAGCAGTGACTGTTATAATTGATCTTTAGAAGTAGTGCTACATAGAGGAAAGAGTAGGTCCCAGATTTGCCTGTGTGACCCTGGGCAGATAGCTCTTGGCATCTGTAAATGGGACAATGACACCTGCCTCACAGGATTCTTGGGATTAAATGAGCTGATACAAACCCTTAGTGCTTTGCACATCTACACAGACCACAGTTAATGAAATTTTTTGTTTGTTTTTACTAAACCATTTAGCTGGTATGGCGTTTTTACAGCTAAGTGATTGAACTTTTTAGTAGAGGAGATGGACAGGAAGTATTCCAAGGGCTTGTTGAAGCTCAGTTTCAGTCTGTAAATACAATAATTGGTAGCTAAGAAACATTCAAAAAGTGTAGTGTTTTCTCCTGATTGGAGCTGAAGTGGCTCTATTACAAATAAAAAGCAGTGAACAGACTCACAGACACAGACAACAGTGTGGTGGCTACCACAGGGGAAGGGGGTCGAAATACATGGAGACTGAAGGAGACTAGGGTCTGGGGGGTGAGCAACAGTGTAGCATACAGGTAGTATATCTGTATATTACATATCATAATGTTGTACACCTGAAACTTACGCATAATGTTATTAACCAAGGTTACCTAATTTCATTTTTTAAAAGAATAGAAGTAGTCCAAGGCAGAGTTAGAAATACTGTCTGTTTTATAGGTGAGGTCTGCCTGCCTCTGTCCACATAGGAAATAGCAACGTGTTCATTTCCTTTAAAAAAAATGCTTCACTTGATAAAAGTTTCATATTGAGCGTGACAGGCACCCACAGATAAAAACCTGGGTTCCTACCTGAAGCTCACAATCCAGAGTGGGAGCCAACGACATTTACGGTAAAGTGTGATAACTGCTGTTGTAGAACTAGGCATGGGTAAGTTGACACGTGCCTCTCTTTCATAAAAGCCTTTAAAGAAAGCCACCTGAGTTGCAGAGAAGCGAGGCGTGGAGTCAGTGTCCCTTCACCAGCTGACCATCTGTTAGAATCTGTGTGGCGTGTACCAGGGCTGACGTCGGAGTGCTTACAGTGTGCAGACACCGTGCTGAACGTTTGCA